TCTCCCCTCTTGTCTTGCCACCTAACTCATCACCTGCTCAAAGGAGGAGTCTGGACTGTACCACTTCAGCCCAGCAGGTGGGATATTACATGCTGAAGTGTTCCTCCATTAAAAAAAAAATTCTTGTAGAAAAAAAGAAGAGGGACCCCCCAACATCTAATTTTCTATGCCCTGTATTCTAATAGGGGGTTAGGGAGCATTTAACTATCTGCAATTTTGTGGTTCAATCCAGTTCTCCCCCCCCCCCAGCTGTTTTATAGACCAGGCCCAGGAATTTCCCTCTCTCTCTCTGGACCTTTGGTTGCCACCTACCTACCTCTTTTGCACAAAGCTTGAAGGGGGGCAACTAATCTAACCAGCTGCACCTGAGATGACAATGAAGTCTTTAAAAGTGTTTTTGTCTTTTAAATGGGCTTCTGTTTTGACCCTTTTAAAGAAAAAGTTCGTCCACGTTTCTGTTCATTCGAATTACCCCTCGAGATTCCCCAAACTCACTGGCGAGGCGGCGCCTTAGCCAGAACTGGTCTCTCCTCCAGGCACGTGCCGAGATCCAGCAGTCCGGGGCGCACATCCCTTACCCGGGGAGCCAGCCCCATTGGGGGCCGGCGCCTCTTGCTCCCGAGTCAACATGCCCAGGGAGGGACAGGCTACGTCTGGCAAAGGGAATAGCGGAGATCCGCCGTCGGCACTGCGAGCACCTTCACCTCCCGCAGCGGCTTCCGAGTGGGAGGCACGCCGGCCTAGTAGTTGGCCACGCCCAGCCCAGCCCCGCCCCGGGCGAGCAACCCAGCAAGCCGGTCGGGAAAGCCAGCCTGGTCTCGGCGGCGGGGTTCTTGGAGAGGGCGGGCGAGGCCAGGCCGAGCTCCGCCCCCTCTGGCTTGTTCAGCCTCCCTCAGCTGGTTGCGGCTGCTGCGAAGCCGCCGTTCAAAAAGCCCGGACTTGGGGAGTGGCGCGCCCAGGCTGGGAAGCGCCCGCAGGATCATGTGCGCGCCGCGCTCCTCGGCTCCCCAGTGCAGCTCGCCGGCCGCCGAGTGATCCCGCCGCCGCCGCCGCTGCTGCCCGGTCTCGGGTCTTCTTTCATGGTCCACGCCTTCGCCCTCCTCTCGCCGCCGGATCCCGGGAGCTGCTGCTGCTGCTGTCCCCCGTGACGGAGATGCAGGCGGCGGCGGGCTGGGTCCAGCGGCTGGCGGCTGCCCTGGGGGTCCTCCTCCTCTGGGCGCTGGAGCTGCGCGGCGCCCGGGCGGACTTCACCCTGGAGAACGAGGTGCGCTCGAGCTTCATCCACAAGCGGCTCCGCAGCCAGGAGCGCCGGGAGATGCAGCGGGAGATCCTCTCCATCCTGGGCTTGCCCCACCGGCCGCGGCCCCACCTCAACGGCAAGCACAACTCCGCGCCCATGTTCATGCTGGACCTGTACAACGCCATGTCAGGGGAAGAGGAGGGCGCCGGCGGCGGGGACGCCGTCGAGGGCTACTCCTACCCCTACAAGCCCCTCTTCAGCACCCAGGGGCCGCCCCTGGCCAGCCTGCAGGACAGCAACTTCCTCACCGAGGCCGACATGGTCATGAGCTTCGTCAACCTGGGTGAGTCTCCGGCCGCGAGAGCCGGCGCGCCGACGGCCCCTCCCCGACGGCACCGGCCCGTCCGGGAGGAAAGAGCCTCGGGGTGGGGCAGGTGCTCCCCGCAGCAGCCGAGTCCGGAAGGTCATCGGGGAGGCTGAGCTGGGAAGTTGGCTTTGCAGGGCACCGACAGGTGGCACCCTCAAAAGACAAAAAAGCGGGGGTGGGTGGGCACCTTTGGGGCGCGGGCGGAGGGGCGGGGGAGCAGTTGGGGATAAAGGAAAAGGGTGACTGCGTCGTTTTTTTGTACGCCTTGAGCCTTGTGACCCCCCCCCCTCCGAACTTCTTCGACTGTCGAGGCTTCCCTGACCTAGCACCAGCCCATCTGGACAGCAGAGCAGGCCTTGAGCTCTAGCACTTGTTGGTGTGCAGCCACCGGCGGATCGGGGCCTCTGCCGGTCTCCTTTTTAACAACCCCCCCCGCAGGGCTCAGAGTGTCGTGGTTGTTCCACCCCCACCCCAACGCTGTAATAAACGAAACCATTTCTAACCTTTTCTAAAATTGCACCCAGGGAAGTGCCCGTAGAACCATCAGTGGATGCTTCCAAATCGCTTTGGAAGGATGGAACCATATGGGGGACAATCGCCACTGCAGATGAATGAGAGAGAGAGCATGTAATGCACCTATGTGCATCGGCCACTATGATGTGGCAAGCGGGGCATGCTTCTCCCCCTCCCTGTATATCTTCACCATAGTTTAAGACCCCACTGGTTGTAATGGGTAACCAAGCTGTGTTCGGTGTCCTTTGAGGATGCTCTTAAGGGAGCAGGTGTTTCCAGGACAGACACCTGGAATGTGTTTCGGGGCCAAGAGCTGTGCGGCCTGGTTCATAAGTTATGGTGAACACACATACACTGTATAAACACACATGTATAAATCATGTACAGTGTACATTTGATTGTCCTTTGTGTGTGTGCAGAGTCATTCTCATGTGGAACGTGTGGGTACGAACTCCATATTTATTCATGCCCTGGTCAGCGGCTTCATTCATGAAGTGGTGCGCATTGGCTCTTTCTTACAAACAGATGTATGCACCTACAGACAAAATGTATGTGCGTTCACCGTCACATGTGAACCTGGCTTTGTTCTCTGTGTCCCTAAGCTATCTATAGAAGTCTGAAGAAAGGCCTCAAAACAGTTGCTTTAAGTTCGCATTCCTGTGCGTGCTTGAACCTTTGAGTTCAGTTAGGACTTGCTTCTGAGTAGGCTCATATAGGGTCAGGTCGCATGACAGATTGTGGCCCTTTCAAAACCTTCTAATGCCAGTTTAATTACTTGGCGATAACAAAGATCCGCTGAACTCCATACTTACCATAATGAGTATGGGCTACATGTTCTTAATTTCTCTGATGCCTGTGGATTAAAAAATATATGGAAAACTCCATTCTTTCTGTGCTTACTATAGGTACAACTGAGGTTAGACATAAATGAATCTCCCACGGGCTGTTTAAATTGCCCCATAAAGCCCTCGAACGGGGAATTTGCTCCCCATTATAATGTGTCCCAGTAGAGAATGTTGACAAAACCTCTTTAAAGTTTAGGGGAAACCAGAGGATCCGTGTCGCAGAGGGCGTGTGGCTTTCCTAGGTTAAATGAAACTCCAGTATTAAGACTCCTGTGACTAATGGAAGGTTGTGAAAATTCTCCCACTGTGTGGAAAGAAAAAAAAAAAAGAGTGGGGAAGCTTCATGTATTGCTGCTTCAGTGGTATGAACTAACCATTCAGACGCACTGGTAGAGAACTGCTCTGGTGAAATAAGTTTGGAGAATCAATCCTAGAGAGACGGTTCTCTTCTGTGTTTGCAATTGCAATGGACCACTTTGAGGTGCTATTTATGACAAATTAGATCAGGGCTAGTTACCATATAAATGGTCTTGGGAACTTGTTTGGGTGTAATTTTTTTGCAGAGGGGGACGTGAAGTAGAATGAGTTGCTTCCTATCCTGATCTAGCTCCCTGGTACTGCCATCTGAACATGAATACTCAATATGCTTTTTTAGTACTCTGTTCAGCATTTCTATTTACTTTTGATATTTGTGCTTGGCTGTTCTCCCCATGAGGACCCATATTGGCTTACCACATTGTTCTTCACCCCACCGGTTTATCTGCACAGCAACAGCCCTGTGAGGTAGGTTACACCAAGAAAGAGAGAATCGCCCAAGGTCGGCCAGCAAGATTCCATGGAAGAGGGAGGATTTGAACTTGGGCCTTGCAGATCATGACAGTTCAACACTCTGACCATTACACCACACTGTACTCTTGTGACTTTTGCTATGAAAAGAGCTGGTGTGGTACAGTGGATAGAGCATCAGACGAGGATCTTGGAGACCCCGGGTTTGAGTCCTCAGTCTGCCATGGAAACTTGCTGGGTGGCCTCGGGCTAGTCACACGCACTCAGCCTAATCTACCACACAGGATTGTTGTGAGGATAAATGGGAGGAGAGCACTATGAGCCCCTGTGGATGCAACACTGGGGAGAAAAGCAGGGTATGAATGAAGTAGAATAAACAAATATGAAACTAGTACTGCACAGAAGAAAACCCAAGAGAATCCAAAATTTAAAAAGATGCAGCGCTGGAAGATGGAACTACCTCTTAATTAGCTACTGGGGAAGAGCTGAGGACGGGACGGCTTAGAGGTCATTAATTCATAGGACTGCCATAAGTTGGAAGCGACTTCACGGCACTTTACACACATAGTTCATACCTGGGACTGTGTGTTGCAACAGGCCACACTGTGGCACTGAAGAAATAAAGGGGCTAGGAAGCCCCTTGAATAATTGTAGTTTTGTTCTAGCTGCTTGCAAAGGGGCAGGTCCCAGTAGGAAAGGAAAGATTACAGTAGGCTGAAGTGTCGTTTTTAGGTTTGCGGGTGAGATTTCTTGGGTGCTTCAAGCTAAAGTCCCTGCTTCGTTGACTCCAGAGGGATCCTATTCAGATCGCTTGGAAGGCCTCTGCAATAAGTAGGTTGTGGAGTATGATCTTAATGACCCCACGGAGGGTTCCCCAGCCAGTCCTCATTTGTTCTGTCTAATGAGCTGAGTCTGGGCTTGCCAGTCTGTGTTCCCTGGGTGAGCACATGTGGATGGATTTATGCAAATGCAGGGGAAAGTTGTCACTTCTCCCCTTGCGGTTGGCTGAGCCTTTTTAATGGGACCTGAACATGAGTTCAGAACAGAGAGTCAAATTTTTAACTATCCCACCCAGCCTGCAGCTTTGTCTAAACAAGGCAAGAAGGAGCTTGAACAGGCAACTTGCTCTGAATGCGAAGTGGTGTAGACAATAGTCAGGGCTGGTGTTCATTGGGCGATGGATCGTGTCTCCTTTAGGCCATCTTAGTTAACTAAATGGCTGGTTAAGATGGTAATCTAGACAAGTTTTCCGAGCAGGCGGGAAACACAGGTTGTGGGGGGCATAAAATCTTTAAAAGGGGTCAGGTGTTGCTGTGTTGAACTAGATCCTGTTGGTCACCCGTGTTGGTCTGAAGCAGCAGAACGAATTTAGAGTCCTGTGGCACCTTTAAGACCAACAAAGGCTTATACAAGGTATGAACGTTTGTGTGCATGGTCTTTGAAAAAGTGTGTATGCACACGAAAGCTCATACCTTGAATAAACCTTTCTTGGTCTTAAAGGTGCCACTGGACTCTAAATGTGTTGACCTAGGACAGACTTCCATTGTTGGGACCTGTTAATACAATGTTCAGGACTCACTAAAACCAGAATCCCAGGGTTAGCTCTAAATCAGAACCAAGACTATTTCACACTGAGATCTACCATTCTGGTCGAAAAGAATTTCCAGTTGCATTGCATTGCACTTGTGACATAATTTATTTAAAGTTTAGGTGGGTAGCCATGTTGGTCTGAAGCAATAGAACAAAGTTTGAGTCCAGTGGCACCTTTAAGACCAACAAAAGTTTTATTCTGGGTATAAGCATGGACGTGAAAAGCTTATAAGTAAAGGTAAAGGTTCCCTTGCTCGAAAGCCAGTCGAATCCGACTCTAGGGTTGCGGTGCTCATCTCCGTTTCAAAGCCGAAGAGCCAGCGCTGTCCGAAGATGTCTCCGTGGTCATGTGGCCGGCATGACTAGACGCCGAGGCGCACGGAACGCTGTTACCTTCCCACCGAAGTGGTACCTATTTATCTACTTGCAATTTCTTGCTTTCGAACTGCTAGGTTGGCAGGAGCTGGAACTAGAGATGGGAGCCCCCCCCCGCTGCAGCACACTCAGGTCTCGAACTGCTGAACTACTGACCTTCCACAGCCTGCAGTTCAGCATCTTAACCACTTGAGCCACCACAGCTCCTGAAAAGCTTATACCCTGAATTAAACTTTGTTGGTCTTAAAGGTGCCACTGGACTCAAACTTTGTTTTATAATTTACTTAACTCATTTGTACCCTGCCTTTTTCCTCAATGGGAACCCCAATCAACTTGCATCACTCTCCTCTCCTCCTCTTTTTCCTCACAACAGCCCTGTGAGGTAGAATAGGCTGAGAGAGTGTGACTGGCCCGAGCTCACCCAGCGAGCTTCCATGGCATGAGTGGGGATTCCAACCTGGGTCTCCCAGATACTAGTACGACACTCTTAACCACTACACCACAGGGGTTCTTCAGTATCTACCTATGCAACGTAGTCCATCTGTCAACGCTTTGAAGTGGAAGGATCTTGGCAACTAGTTGCAGATACATGGAAAGTTATTGCCATGTTACTAGTTACAGATACATGGAAAGTTAGATGAGACACCCTTGCATGACCAGCCCTGGTGCTGGGGAAGACCTTTCTTTGCCTAAGAGCCCAGAGTGCTACTGCCAGATAGGATCAAACAAGACATTAGGACTTTTAATGAGCTAGGTCTGGGGAAATGTTGTGTTTGTGGGGGGTAATGCTCCCTCTAAGCTGTGAAGTCCTGTGCTCAACAGTTCTGCTTCGTGAGCTACTGGCATTAGTTGTGAGCAGGTGATTTT